CTACTCTACTCCTCGGAAAGAGAGGCAAACGTTGTGTTTCTATAATTCCATTCAGGAGAGTTTATGTGGGGGAAGGGGAGACAGGCCTGGTGTTTGGCAGGTAGGGAGGAGGAAATGGAGGGGTGAGAATGATGTTGGATGGTGGAAGAGGGGGAGGAGGGGATACAGGGAAGGGAAAACAGGTGAGTAGGCTCTAGCTTACCCTAAACTTTTGCAGCCCACATATTTACAAGTTATTAATTAAGCTAACTTTTGGTTGATAAAATAGCCCTTCCAGTATTCACAAGGATACTTTCACAATGACCAGTCATGTTTGGATAGTAGTCTTCAGAGACACTTGCCAGAATATTGTGGCCCACTGCCAGTCTCCAGTCTCCCAACTCTTCCACCCCAAGTTCCTTCCTCCTGCACCTCACCTCACCATGAGGAGTGTCAGGTGCACACGTGTAGAGACCCCCCTGTCCATATGCCCATGTTCTGATCACATCCCCCACACCACAACTCCCTGGCTGACAGGGGCCTTTGAGCTACCTCTTGGGCCTTAGGGTATATATATTGTCCACATAGTTCTTTCTTGGCTGCTTGGACCCAGGGAAATGGCCCACAACACCCCTAAAGGTGGGCTTGGGTGTAGTTGATAAGGGGGGAGGGCGAGTGTGGTAAGGGTTCCAAGTAGGCATGTCCACTTGGCTCCACGGACCCCAATCTGTGCTGGAAGACACAGCTAGAGGAGGGCCAGGGTAAGGTTCGTGAAAGTACCAGGGCCTCTCTTACCCAGTTCTAAGGCTGCTGCTGAGTGGTAGAACTGTCCAGTGCTCCCATGAAGAACATTTTTTTTAAATGGCAGCTGAGAGACCCCAGGCCCACGCTCAAGGAAGTTTCTGAGTCATTGGTCTTTGACCATCTGAGTTGGACAATGAGCATCTCCGTGGTTGCAGTGTACACTGAGACCAGAGGCCTTTCCTTTCCGTTTTTTCAGGCACCAGGAAAATGCTCAGATTTCCAGCTGACTCAAGGGCTGTAATAGAACCCCCTGCAAAAGGACAGCATTTCTTGATCTCCCTGACTTGTAGGAGTAATGTTTAATCTGATCTGGAAAACAATGTGGTGTATCCTATACTTCATCCTACTATGATGTGTACATTGATTTTAATAAATATGCAAATCACATCATTCAACTTCTGAATTCTTACATCCCTCCATCTGTAAGTAAATGTTTTCTCTCGTAACATGTGTGTTCTGCCTTGCTTATGTATTTCCTATTGTATACTAGTCTTATGTATTACAAATTTCTTGAAGGCATGACGTGACTCATTCATTGTTGGGTTCCTTCCTAGCAGAATCCATCACAGTGCCAGGCACACATCAGACATTCAATAAGTCATTGTTGAACTAAGTAGAATGTTTCAGAAATGAATTTTAAAATGGTTATGGGCATACTATTCTGTTTCAGTGGTTTTTTTTTTTTGCAACTAGTAATTTTTTTTTCTACTTCTGTATTAATTTAAATAAGAACATTCATCAAGTTTTTTCTGAAGTAAATCAATGCCTGTGATCCTTTAAAAACTTTAATGAATGTTTAGTTCCCCAAAAAAGGATTTTTGGTAAGTTTCTGAAATATGTAATTTTTCTCTAATTGAGTGAAATTTAAGCAAAATTAGACAAAAGTACAGGAAGAAAATACAGATGACACTTGTACATTTTTTGCCCTTTAACCTTTCAAAATAAACTTTTTCCTCCTTATTGAAACTTTCCACTGTGGGAATACCTTTGATATGAAGAGAAATCATATAGGAAAAAAGTAGCATTAAGTCATACTCGAGGAACCAACAGTTTGTAAGGATGCTCTATAGTCACTTTCAGGCTATGTTTACAAGTAGCCTAACAAACTTGACCTTGAATTGGCAAAACCGGTCAACGTGCATTTGCTTTGAGTTAGACAACCAACTCAGCAGCTGCCTGGTGGCCCTAACGGAGCAGCCAGGCTACAGGGACACCCTGATTGGCTTGCCACACAGTTTGTTTGGTTTGTACATAGAGATACGGTCTTTGTGTCCTTATAGATGTGCCAGGCTTGCTTTATATGAAATCTCTTAGCCAATAGTGTCTAAGTAGATTTCTAGATTACAATGGATGTTTACATAGAATTGCACACAGTAATATTTTAAAAGAGTTGTTGACAGCACAGGAACAGACGTGATCATGAACATTTTTAACAACAGTAAGGCATGATCACCAACCAATCATAACAGAAAAAGAAGGCACCATTGTTTTGTCAAGAAATGTAGACTTTCCCTCTGTTGTTGTTACATGTTGTTGAGTCAATTACAACTCATAATGACCCTATAAACCAAACCCATTGCCACTGAGTCAATGCCGACTCAGGTTTCCAAGGCTGTAAATCTTTACAGAAGTAGATTGCCTCATCATCCTCCCGTGGAGTAGCTGGTGGGGTTGAACTGGTTAGCAGCCCAATACCTTAACCATATTGTTGTTGTTGTTAAGTGCCGTCGAGTTGCATCACAATAAATGGAGAGAAGATTGAGGTTGTCAAGGAATTCACGTTGCTTGGTTCTACAATTGATGCCAACGGAAGCAGCAGTCAGGACATTAGACGACGTGTAGCATTGGGAAAGTCAACTGCGAAGGAACTGTTTCAAGTGCTGAGGAGCAAGGATATCTCATTGAGGACTAAGGTGCGCCTGACACAAGCCATGATATTTCCAATCGCCTGGTATTCATGTGAGAGCTGGACAATGAATAAGGAAGACCAAAGAAGAGTCGATGCTTTTGAGTTGTGGTGCTGGCGAAGAATGCTGAAAGTACCGTGGACTGCTAAAAGAACTAACAGATCTGTCCTGGAGGAAGTGCAGCCAGAATGCTCCTTGGAAGCAAGAATGGCCAGACTTTGTCTCACCTATTTTGGTCATGTTGTAAGAAGGGACCATTCCCTGGAGAAGGATGTCATGCTTGGTAGGGTGGAGGGTCGACGAAAGAGGGGGAGGCCTTCAACGAGATGGATTGATACGGTGGCTGCAATGATGGGCTCGAGTATAGCAGGGATTGTGGGGCTGGCGCGGGATCGGGCAGTGTTTCGTTCTGCTGTGCATGGGGTCGCTATGAGTACCTTAACCATAGGTCAGAGAAAAACTGCCCCAAAGAGTTTCTTAGGGAGAACCAGGTCTTTCCTCCTGTGGAGCTGCTGGTGGGTTAGGTTAGCAGCCAAGCACATAATCAAAGTGCTACCAGGGCTCCTTCAGTTTTCCCCAGAAACAGAAAAACCAAACTCACTGCTGTCGAGTCGATTCCAATTCACAGTGACCCCCTCCTTGGGTTTCCAAGGCAGTATCTCTATGGAAGTAGATTGCCCAGTTTTTCTTCCAAGGAGTAGTTGGTGGGTTTGAACTGCCAGCCTTCTGGCTAGCAGTCGAATGCCCTAGGCACTATGCCACCAGACGATTCCCAAATGTACTGCTACTACCCTTCTCTTCTTGAGTCGTCTCCTCCCCACACTCATCAATCCAGATCCGTGATGACCATTATAACTTAGAGACATTTGTATGAGTCTGTAATTGTTTGAGCAACTTCCTTCACTCTTCTTGGTGTTATAAAGTTTTAGTTTATATATAGTTAAGACAGTGGAGTAGGAGTGTGAGGAAAGTACCATATGATCTCTGTTTCCACAGAGTTCCAATTTGGAAAGGAAGAATAGCAGGTATTTTAAAATTGTCTTGCCAGGATACCTACAAGGACAATGTATTTTAGCCCCTGCAACAAAAGACCAAAAAGGGAAAAAAGGGGTGAGGGGAAAAAGGGGTGAGGGAAAGGGGGAAACAGTGATGGTATGGTACTTTCCTCACACTCCTACTCCACTCTCAACTATTTATAAGCTAAAACTTTACAACGCCAAGAAGAGTGAAGGACATTGCTCAAACAATAGCAGGCTGGTACAAGTGTCTGTCAGCTGGCGAGAGTTTTAAAAAGGTTTCCTTCTGTTTACATGGAAGCCATCAGCAAACCCTAAATCTGTGATTGCACTATAGTCTGCAACAGCCTTCCACTTCGTTTTGGTGGACCTGTGCGGCATTTGGCCAGGATGCCACAAGAGGAGTCCCAAGATGGTTTAATGTGCCTGCTAATTAAAAGGGTGCAGGTTCGAGTTCAACCCAGAGGTGCCTCAGAAGAAAGGTGTGGCACTCTACTTCTAAGAGAGTCCACCATGGACGTTCCTCTGGAGCACAGCTCTACTTTGACACACATGAGGTTGCCAGGGGTTAGAGTCGGCTGGGTGGTAACTGATTGTGCCCATACCCATGACAGCAGGGAGGCCAGGCCTTTTGTTCTGTGAGCACACAACCCCAAGCACATCCATGAATCCTGTGTCATCGTGTCACAAACCCTCCGGATTTATTTTGTACCATTAACTGAGTAAGTTTTTCCTCTGTGGAGAAAATAAGTTTGAAAGGTAGAGTTTAAGAAATAGTTTAGTGAATTCAAAAGGAAAAAAAAGACACAGAAAAAGCCGCTGGTTGTCAAGCAGGCCTGTGTGAAATAACTCTGCTTTCCTCAGAAAAATCTGTGAGGTCAATAGAAAGATGGGTTTTCAGGATTTTATCATGGGGTGTTGTGTTGCTTTTACTGTGGGAGGAAATTGCATTTACAGCTTAATACTTTAAATGAGCTGCTTTTGCTGATTCTATAGCTTTTTATTTTTGTAAAGTCCAGTGACCAAGGACAGACAACAATGACCAAAGCACTGACATCATGTGAACTTTTGTTTGCAATTTTTAATGAAGCAATCCGTGCAAACATTTTTTTTTTTTTTTTTTTTTTCAACATTAGGAGGAAAGAAAACAACCACACTTGGGCGCCTGGTGGAAAAACACAAACTGCTTTCTCATTGAACCAGATTTCAAAGCAGCAGCGCGCAGCGAGGCAGTGCCCAGGCCCTCATTATTCCTCAGGATTGCTTGACTGTAAATCTCGCAAATATGAATCAATTATGTTAGGAGGCACGCCTTGCAAGAGGAGCCTGCAGAAGGAAAGCCCACCTAGAGAGGACAGAAAGGACAAGGAAGCGTCAAAACTCTCCGTGAGAAAAATCACTGAAATAATGCTTTTGCACTAGTTCCCTGGAAATGCGACTGATTATATTCCAGTTAGTTACAGAGATTCATTCAGTCCCTACTTGGAAATCTCTTCCTGGTTTTAGTACATTTAGAATTTAAAGCACTTGGCATCTAGAAGGAAAAGCAAGTTCCCAGCAGACCCATACCAGTTTTTTTTTCTTACTGTTATTCAAACATGATTTAAATAAAAAAAATATTCATCGCGCCTTGAGAAACTTTGTGATTTTTTTTCTTTTTTTTTGTGATCTTTCTATAGATGATTTAAGGGTTCTGACTCAATGGCAGAATAAATGCATACCATGTTATGGATCAGAGGGAAGATCTGTTTCCAGTTTGTTAATGTTCTTTTTAATTAAGCACAGAGAGTTCCAATTCAAGCACATAGGAGGAAACAAAGGGACTATCCCTGTAACTGTGGCCATTACGCCTTCGATATATTCTCAAAGGGGCAAAACTGGAAAAATTTAGTTAAAGATAGTAAGATCTGTCCAATAGCTTCTGAAGGAAAGAGAAACCCCTACTGATACTGCATACTTACCTACTGTGTTTCTGGAGTATACTTACAAAATAAAAGTACCCTTTAAGAGAAAACCCATGAAACCACACCACTTCATGGTCCTTTAGAGAAGTGCTTTACTACTTGCTAATAAATTCACGTACAGACCAAAACAGCATGCCATTTGAACATTCTTAAAACTTCTTTAATGCAAATTTGAGAACATCATTCTCCTTTTTTTAAAAAAAATCCAAGTCACATATTGGTAGAAATGATGCCATTTATGTACATGTCCATTCCTTGATGCAAAGACGGCACAGTGCTTGGATGCCACGCATTTTCATCTGTATTAAATGCTTAAGTCATGCTCTACTGCATTCAGCAACTTGCTTCATGTCAACAGGAGGTTGTCGTGAGGAATAAGCACTAGATGTTAATGTCACGATACTGAAATACAAATTAAAACTACAAAGTCAGCGATTTTAAACAGTCTATTTTCATTGGATTCCATAATGAAAATCATGCCATACTCCACAGGCTCTGTATGGCTTATGACAGTCATAAGCTTCATATGCCAAAACCATATGAAAGCTTACCTTAGATGACAATATACATTCAAAAGTCCTTACTGTGCTACAACTAAGGAAGAGAGAGAAAGAGAGAGAGAAGAGACGTTGTAAGCATTAATAACAGTACTAACACCAAAGTTGAGTACTTGTGGGATGAAATTATGGTCATGATTATGATGAGGTGATTTCATTAATCCTTAGTCTTGTGAAAGATGGAGGAAAATAGAAGCGCATGGACGAAGGGCAGGGATCCAGTCACTTCAAAAGGATCATTAATATGTAAATGATATATTAATATGTACAACCACAAGAAATTGGTCTCTACCACTATGTCTGAGCAGGTGGCAGAGCCAATTTGATTGTAGAGTGAATATTTATGGTAAGAGCTTCCAAACCATTAGCTTAAGGAAGAAAAAAAAAAAACCTACAACATATATATATTGTGTTTTTCAACAAAAGAAAAACAGACAATAGACAAAGCATTAGTATACATATATATATGTTGAAATTCTAAAAGGCAAAATTATCAAGTAGCTCTAAATATTAAACTAGTGTATTCTAAAATACTGTATCCGGAACTGATTACATGTAACTGATCTAAATAAGCATATGGCTTACACAAACTTAGGATGCAAAGAGATAATATATACAGTCTACAAAACTCTAAACGGAGCTCTAATTCCTCGTTCGAAAGTTGACATCATCTCTGGAAATTCAGAGAGGAAATTTTGTAAATCTAGGCATGGAGCTACTTCATTAGAGTTTACATTGGGGTTCCCAGCCCCAGATAACTCTTAATTTGTTCTTCCAAACATGAGGGAATCGTACCTATAGGATAGGATTCATTTGTAGCTTTACACATTTTGTAACAGTGCTTAGAAGTTTCTGTTTTTTTAATTACATTCATAAATACGTGAAATAATTTCAGTCCCACGAAAATGTCCCAAAGGTCCAACAAATAGATAGGTTATATATATGGTACTAGCATATTTAATTTAAATTGTAAAGTCTTAAATGAGAAAGTTTCCAAAGATTGGATACATTTTTGTGTCCTGTTCCCATCAAAAATACTCTGAATACTTTTTCTAAAACTCAGCAATTTAAAAATGTTCAGTCTTCCAAGTTTCAACATGATTTTAAGGAAACTACACTGGAAATGATCTTAAAGGAAGACTGGCTCACTCTACGTTTAAAACATGAACACACTAAAGAAATGTCATTTATTTCCCAGCTTTGATAGCCTTGTAAATAACACGAGGCCATCCTTAAACACAGCTTTCTGGCTTTATAGATTGAGACCCGTAGTGAAGTACTGACTTTTCTAACAAAACTTGGTTCCTAAGTTAATTAATATCCTTGAATAATTTGGCCTTCCTTATCCATGGCATAAACACTGTATGCCATGAGCTGCTAAGAGTACAATTAAAAGCAAATGAGAAAGTCAAGCTTTACATGCAAAGTGCGTTTTCATGTAAGAGGAATGGAACAGAAAGTAGAAATATCCGGTGGGATATGAACTTTTTAAACCTGTTGTTGCCCCTCCAGGAAGATTGGTTGTCCAGGGGTATTTACTCCTTGATATATCACTGCAGAATTAGAATATGTGTACCGGTATTTATTTATTCTTGGTTGACATTCTTACCTTTCATATTTTGTTTCACAGTTTAACTTGATTCAAGTGACCTATTATCAGATAACAATCTGATGATAAACAATCTCAGCTTTATTTCTAGGACCAAAACTTCTTACCGATATATCACAGTTGATACCTTATAAAGAACTTAGGTATTAGAATACAGTATTCATGTTACTTAATTCAATTACAAACTGTGAAAATACATCATCTACATGCCTAACCTTGTTCACTTTTATAGAGGCCCCCTGAATGTTGACCCATTTCTGAAAACATCATTTTATGTCATTAGTAACAGTCTGTTATTTTCAAAGTGGGATTGATAAGTAGGATTGTTCTGAGTTTTTTCGTTGTTGTTTTTTTTTTTTTTTTTAGCGTGTTGAAACATAAGCAACAATACCTTGGAACAAATAAAACTGGAAGCTTAGAGACCAGATATACTTGCAACTGTGACCTTAATCTGCGTTTAAAGCTAATACAGCAGCTGGAAAAAAAAAACATTTAAATTTCCAAGAACTGTCAGAGTAATAAGGTTTGAGATTTCCTATGAATAGTATATGCTTTATATTTGAGGGGAAGAAATCAGAAAAATATTTTTCTGTCACTCAGTTGTGAATCTACTGTACTGTATGCCTGGGGACAGAACAAAGCAAAGAATACTGGCTTTAAAATGTTAGAAAAGGTCTTTCTTCTTATAAAAAGTTTCCCTGCCATATTTATACCACATTTAGGACTAAAAAAATTTTTTTTACACAAATACTCTAAACATTTATTATGATTTTCCAAAAATAACTACTTATATTAAAGTTTTGTATGAGTAAATCATAGTCTTTCTGACTTTTAGATAATTTCTTCATAGAGAGAGGAAGGAAATACAAAGACTTTGGTTATCAAAGAATGACAACATAATATGATGAGAACAAGAGAAAACACATTGGGCTCTTGACAGCTATTATCTCATCACTGTAACTCTGGCAGATGCAGAAGTTCTTATAGTGTCCCAGAGTTGCTTTTGATTGCCAAGAAAAAATTCAATATAAAAATTATAGTCAATTAATATAAAAAAAGGATAAAGATGCTGGTTTGTGGTTTTTACCACACATGTCGTTATGTGTTTTCTTGTTCTAAATTACTTGCAACACTTCAGAAACTAGTACAAATGAAATGCATACCTATAAATGGATAGTCCTCAGTGAGATTTTAAAGTAATTGTTTATAATATAAACCAAAAGAAAAGAAAAACCCACTGCTACTGAGTCAATTCTGACTCCCAGCAATCCTATCGGACAGAGTAGAACTGCCCCATAGCATTTCCAAGGCTGTAAATCTTTATGGAAACAGACTGCCTTATATTTCTCCAGCGGAGCGACTGGTGGGTTCAAACAGCCGACCTTTTAGTTAGCAACCCGATGCTTTAACCACAGTGCCACCAAAGCATCTCTTTATAATATAGGATGTGCTATTCTACATGTGAAGCTCTGGTGGCATGGTGCCTAAGGCATTTGACTGCCAACCAGAAGGCTGGAGGTTCAAACTTACTAGCCACTGCTCAGAAGGGAGGTTGGGCAATCTACTTCTTTAGTGATACTGCCTCGGAAACCCAAAGAGGGGTCACTATGAGTCGGATCTGACTTGATGGCAGTGAGTTTGTTTGTTTTATTCTACATAATACAATGTTAAATACTAAATTAGCAAACTTATCCATACAAGTATTGGACATTTCACAAAACAGTACACTAATTTAAAAATCAGCATGAATTCCTTAATTGCACTCATTAGTTGAGTTTTTACACTAAAATTCTATTCTTGTTACTCGCCACCAAAGATCCCTTTGATTTTATGCATTCTTACCATGTTGTACACATCTAGTATTCCACTGAAATTAATATTCCTTTCGTTAACAAGCATTGCAAGGGATAATAAAAAATGAGAAGTCTACTTAAATAATCAAGTAGCCTTCAACAAATAAATTAGAATGAATGAAGAATGTAAAAATTTCTTCTCTCCCCATACTTCCACTCAATCATTTTGGCAAACAATTTGGATTTTGCAGTATGAGCAATAAGAAAAGGATTTTCTTTGACTTTAACCAATAAAGTCTTGGGGGTCATACCTTTCACTTCCAGTTTGCATTCCATCTCCGCGGTCCCCAGCTCATTGACGGCTTTGCAGCTGTAGGTGCCCCCATCATAGGGGCTGGGCTTGCGGATCTCCAGGGTGCAAACCCCCTGGTTGCTGAACATCCTGTATCGTGGATCATCCACAATAGCCACTTTGTTCTTCATCCAAGTTATTTTGGGCTAAAGTTAAGATCGAAGAAAGTTAGACCAAAACATATTTGCATTTAGCATATTAACAGACCGTCAGAGCCAAGGGCAGATTTTTAAAGTCGATTTAGAAGGAAAGCACGTCTAAGAAGAATGCCTATCTAATAGAGCACGTTTCTCTCAAATTCTACTTAGCACTTGGCAAGAACACAGCTGGACGGTCCTGGAGAAATCAGCCAGGTTTGTTCAGAGGACTGTGCCAGGGCAAGCATCTGAAATGGATTCAGTTGCATTTAAATCTAATTCACAGGCCCATGATGTTAACTCATCCAAAACCGGTTGCCATGGAGTCAATTCCAGCTCATGGTGACCCATGTGTTTCAGAGTAGAACTGTGCTCCACAAGGTTTTCATGGCTGTGACCTTCTGGAAACAGATTGCCAGGCCTTTCTTCTCAGACACCTCTGGGTGGGTTCAGACCATCAATGTTTCAGTCAGTAGCTGAGCACTTAACCATTTGTACCACCCGGGGACTCATTAGCAGTTGAAAGTTTGGTTCATATTATTACTTACAATTGTAACATGGAAGATACAAAAGAGTGAGCTTGGGGTTAACTCTTACATTTAATTAAGTTGATAGGAAACCGTGGTACCTTAGGATTTCCTCTCACGCTGCAGTTCAGGGTGGCGTTGTAACCAGCTACAGCGTAGGTGTTAACCAAGGGCTGAGTAAACATGGGCGCCTCAGTGAAATCGAAGTCCTCATACACTGGGTTTTTGTAGATTTTACCTTAAAAACAAGCATTAAAAAATCTACAAGTTGGCCTGAGATTATATTATTCCTGGCATATTTTACTCACAATTAAAAGTCCCCTGAGCTTCAAAAAACATAAAAATATGACCAAACACCATACAGGAAGCCAGAGCGGCCAAGTGAAAAATAAATATTGAGAAGAATTCAATGTTTGGGTATTTTGATCAGAAAAGTGTTCTAATGTGAAAGTAACAAGGAGGCATTTTAAGGAGAGTGATTTATGATGACATGAATGATCAGGAGAATTCAGCTGCTTTCCTTCAGTACAGAGTGGGTCCACACGCAGCTCTGTTGAAGGTGTCCAAGAAGAAGAGTAACAAAAACTCTAGAGGTAAATGTCTATTTTTCCCTCTCCCTGTGATTTTAGCCATTTGTAGATCAACTGCTCAAAAATTGGAATAAATTAAAGCTTACGTGTTTACAATGCCACAATAATTTTACTTAGAAAATTATAGTATTACTTGAACATCTGTACTGCAATTTTTAACTGCGTTTATCATATTCTTATTTTCTTTCACCACATTTCTTTTCCTTCCTGTCTTCCTCATCTGGTCACTGAGAACCACCATCTCCAGATATCCAGTCCACTCACCGTCCTTGGCAATCACGGCGCTCTCTTTAGTCATCGTTGCATCCTCACTGAGGCCACACATATTTTCAGAAAAGACCCGGAAGTAGTACTCATTTCCTATTACCAGTTCAGTAATGGTGGCATTGGTTCGGTGATAATGTTCAATGACAGTGAACCATTCCTGAAGGAAAAAAAAAAAAAAATTGAAGGAAATCACATAAAACATACACAAAATTGTTGCTTAGTATAAAAACAGGGATCCTTCATTAACAACAAGAAAAAAGAAACAGTACCAAATGAATTAGCATTGTATATTGAGTACAACAGCAATGCATGTTACTTTGTTTAATACATTATAATTTATTTTCACTTGACTGTAATTTAATCTTCATTTCCACATTAAATTCATACCCTTTTTTATTTTCTTCATAAGTGTATTGTATCCATCTACCTACCTTTTGTATAGCAGAGTATAACTATAACATGTCTTAATTTATTGTGTGGGAGCTCTGGTAGCATAGTGGCTAAGACACTTGCCTGCTAACCAGACGGCTGGCGGTTCAAACCCACCAGCCACTCCTCGGAAGGAAGGTTGGGCAATCCTACTTCCGCAGTGATACTGCCTCGGAAACCCAAGAAGGGGTCGCTATGAGTCGGGTTTGACTCGATGGCACATAACAACAACAACAACAACAAACAATTTATTGTGTGGAAGAGAGGAAAATAACTCACTAAAGAAAAATTAAGATTGTCCAATAAATTATTAACTTAGGGTTTTTCAGGTCTTTGCTGAGATATGTCAACCACTTTCAGAGACTCTCCTCTTTAGGGCTCTGTTAGGCACACACTATCACCTTAATCTGGATAATTTTTCTTCACAGCACTTGCTACCTTAAATTATTTCCTTACTCTTTTACTTGTTCAAAACTACTAGCCACTCCATGGATTTTTTTAGTTTTGTTTTGTTTATTTTACTTGTTTATTGTCTATCTCCCCCACTGAAATGTGCCTTCCATGATGGCGGACATTGACTTTTTCTTCTTACTCCTCATATTCTCAAAGCCTATCACAGACCCTGGCACATAATAGGTGCTCAACAAATATTTATAGGCTACTTGAATGAATGAGAAGTTAAAGCTACCTTATTTTTTTTTTCTTCAACTTTCTCCTCTTCATATCAAGAAATACAGTGGTTTCAAAGTTTGTCTCACAGCCCAGAGGAAAATCCCATTGCACCATGGATGTGTAATACTACTCATTGAAAAAATACATTTGCTGACAAAAAGTTAATAAAGGGAATGCATTATCTCTGGAATGTTTAGGGGTCATCATGATCTGTAGCTATTTTGAAGATTTTTAAGACACCAGACAAATGTCATTACTCCCTTGTCTGTTCCCTAGGCATCTTATACAAAGCTTTATTCCAACATTTAGTATATGTATTATACATCCCATTTTATATCTTCTTGCCTAGACTGTGAATATTTCAAGAGCAGAAGCTGCCTTTTTTTTTTTTTTTTAAAGGTCCTATAGCTAGAATGGTGCCAACACATCGTAAGTGAAGAAATGGAAATTTGGACACACATAAAAACAACATTCTTGAGGAGGATGAATAACGATGGGAATTTAAGTGAAGAAATAGCATGTGTAACCACAGTGCAGCAATGCCATGATGATCTCCCGGGCGGTGCATGGAGCAGAGCATCTTCTGGTTCTACAGGTCCGTCTTTGCTGGAATACAACAGAAACACAGGGTGCAGGGGCTAGGAGTCATCACCTATCACCAGGCAGACTTCAGTCATGTGGAACAGCAGGGACATCCTGGCTCACTGGGATATCTAAGTGTTGGGCAGGTTTGATGGGGAGGAAGAATGGGGGTGAGAGCTGCCTGAAAGGTGCTCCTATAGCAACCACCCCTTTTGCCATCACGTCAATTCCAACTCATAGTGACCCTATAGGGCAGAATAGAACTGCCCCATAGGGTTTCCAAGGCTGTAATCTTAAAGGAAGCAGACTGCTACATCTTTCTCCCAGAGCGGCTTGTGGGCTTTAACCACTGACCTTTTGGTTCACGGTCAAACAGTTAACCACTGTGGCACTAGGGCTCCTTATGGTAACCAGGATACCCATGGATTCACTGCCAATGCCAGGTTTAAGGACCAATGAGGAACTCTAACACCTACGTAAGTCCAAGATGCTCAGATACTTCCCTTGCAGAGTCAGGCCACAATCTGGCTCTCTGCCTGTCCAGATTTAGAAGAAAGATCCCACTTTAAATGCCAAATCTAATCTTGTCATGTAATGCCCACCTGGGAGAGGTGGTGGAGAAAGATGTGCTAGGAATAGCTTATGGAAAAATTAGGCTTGAAACCCCTTGGTGACGAGTCTTGATACTTAGGCTGCCTTTTTCAACTCTTTCCTCTTCTTCTATTAATACTATGTCACTTCCTGAACAAAGATCTACTTACTGTAAGTACCTAAGACTTCCCATCAATATCATTAACGATAATGTTTAACTCTTCCTCTGAGAGGGAAAAATGTTTCTGTATCACTGTGTCCAAACACTCTTTCATTCATTTATAAGTAGAAGTAGGGTGTACTGGATGAATTCTGATTCAGAAAGACCCAGACTTTGTCATTGAAAAGCTTGTGACCTCCACCAAGTCCTTTATCTCCTCAGAGCCTTAGTTTCTTCATCTGTAGAAGAGGGGTAATAATAATTCATACTCAGCAGGATTGGTTCTGAACACCCCAAACCCTTTGCTTCCTTAAGAACTTTGTCTAAGGTGGTCCCTTTAGGATCTTTCTTTTCTAAGCAGTGTCTTTTGAGTATAAATCCACACTATCCAACATTAATCTCATGAGAAGAAAAAGTTGCATAGGTGTAAACCTGAGTCAGAATTCAGAGTGAGTAAATGTTGGCTGAATAAATGAATTTATTGAATCCCATTGAGCATTGACCCAGCTGCTTTGTATTTTCAGCCTTATAATAACCAACAAGCTAAGTATTTGCATCCCCATTTTATAGAAGAGGAGAATGGAGATCAAAGAGGCTAAGTGACTGTCCACGGACACATAATCATAAGCAGTGGTGCTGGATTCAAATCTAACTCTCTGCGGCTTCCAAGACCTTACCCTTTCTGATACGTCACACTGCTTCTCCACAGCCCCCAGGGGTTCCTTGCAAGAGAAAACCTCTTGCCTCCTCCTTTACCTCTGATGCAATGACATTTTCCTTATTTGAAAGCAAAACCCTTTGTTGCTGCTGCAGGACTAGAAAAAGCCAAACCTCACCATGCTCTTCTTGTCGGCCTTCTGGATTGTGTACCCCGTGATGGCAGCATTCCCATCATCCTTTGGTGGTGTCCACGAGAGAGCAACATTCTCGCCCCAGACATCATCAATCTTCACAACTTGGGGTGGGCCAGGACGGTCTATGAACATAAAATCACGGTATCACAAACAAAAGACAGGCATATGAGCTGAACATTTACATTCATGGCACATTACAACAACAACAACAACAGATCCTTGGAGAGATCAGTCATGGGAGAATAACTTAACTCACTGATGTTGAGTCAGATCTGACTCATAGCAACCCCTCTTTGGGTTTCTGAGGCAGTATCTCTATGGAAGTAGATTGTTCAATCTTCCTTCTGAGGAGTGGCTGGTGGATTTGAACCTCCAGCCTTCTGGTTAGCAGTCAAGTGCCTTAGACACTATGCCACCAGAGCTCCCATTGGAGAATAGAAGGGCTATGTATGCAGACAGCTCACGGCAAGCAGTGAATGGAAGGGAAGGACACAGGGAAGAAGTGGCTATGGGGAGAAAGGGGGAGGAGAGCTGTTGCATTGTGGAAGATTGCAGTCAATGTCATGAGACAAAGTGTATGTGAACTGCTGTATGGAAGATGAATTTGCTCTGTAAACTTTCACCCAAATCACACACACACACAAAAAAAATCATGGCATCACTGTGAAGCTATATGTTCCCTCCCAACGTATAGCTTGTTATGTGCAAATATTTTTCAATGTCCTTCTTTGTATTACAAGGTCACTGGGTGGTACAAATGGTTAATGTGATAATCTGCTAATTGAAAGGTTGGGTGTTCAAGTCCATCCAAGATACCTTGGAAGTCGATTACCTGGCAATCTACTTCCACAAAATCAGCCATTGAAAACCCTATGGGGCACAGTTCTACTCTGACACTCATTGGGTCACCAGAGGTTGGAACTGACTCAAAAGCAACAATGTTTTTCCTTATTTTGCAGGAGGCAGCACTCTCCCAGACCTTTATCATGGAGTCTTCTGAGACCTCGCACTTGCCACTAGAATGGCAACATATCAGATGCAAGGACATGAAGCTGTCTCCACACCCCCCTCAACTGAACAGACACCAAAAAGGTTGAGCCAGAGGAAAGGAATGTTTAGTTTAAGGGGCATGTACTTTCGCCCAAAGGGAGGCCTGTCACAGGAAGCTGCCCTCTTTGGTTAGAGAATCCAGCAAGTTTCCTGAAATATAACAATAAAAATGACTGGAAACAAGGCTTTTCCTAGCTTTACTTTGACATTGAAAAAATTACAGAACAAGTCAAGTGAGAGGGTTCTATCTGTAAAAGATCTTTCCTTTACTCCCCTTACTCTGGACAGAACTAACTGCTTCTTCTTTGGGCAGATGAGGCTACAGTTTAACTTTGTTTAGGTAAGTCTTCTTTACATTTAATAAAAATTCATCATTCTCCACTAAATTGTTATTATCAGTAAGTTCTAGGTATAATGATATTGCCTCAGAAACACAAGGAGGGGTGGCTAGGAGTCAGGTCCGGCTCGACGGCACATAACAACAACAACATTTTAAACCGTATCTGGACTTTGCAAAGTTTTTTATACAACAATATGGCACAGAAAACAGTTTTATCATCAGGGTGTTGAGAAACTGAAAGTAAAGTGAAGCTGGAGGCAAAAGAGTACAGATGGCTTTTACTAGAAAATTCGTACATGAACTTTCTTTGAAGAATGCCCTATGTCTCTCATGATTAGCCCTTTTATTAAGTTAAAAGCTATTTTGAAATGCTAACAAATCTTACTTCACCAAATTTTATTAATTTTTTTTGAATTCAGAATTTTATGTTGAGCCAGCCCAACAAACCTACTCCTGCCTTAATAACAAGGACAACTATCATTTTGACACAATGTCCTTGTTTCTTCCTCCAAACATACCAACGATCTGGATGTCTATTGTCGCACTTTCCACATATTTTTCCACTTTGACTTGCAGATCATATTTCCCAGAGTGGCTCCTCTCTGCTTTCCTGATAAATATGATTGTATCTGTCTCAGAGTTGCGAATATTTACATGATTCTTATCAATTTCTGCACCATCCTTCTTCCAACTTAATTCTGGTCTTGGTTTTCCCTAAAAAGGAAGACAGAAAAAGTAGAAGGTGAGTGGGGATCAGATGGTTCCAAGGTGTCTTTTTTTTTTTTTCAGTGTTACAAAGACGACAGCGGCCTGACACTTTCTAGGTGATTTTCTAAAACAACCTGGTTGCGGTTAGCTACAGCACCGACAGTAATATTTACTGCGGCTTGTTGACTACATTGCTGGGCAAGGCGCTACGTTAGGTATATGCTATTATTTCTCTGACTTTTCACATTAAGATAAATATCATGATCTATATTTTTATATAAAGGAGTTAAATGACATGCCCGAGGTCTTGCAGCTAAGCAAGTGCTGGACCCAGATCTCCTGGGTTCTAAACCCTGCACAATACAGCATCATGGTTAAGAGCATAGACTCTGGGCCCATGGAATCTATATTTGGATCCTGACTCCACCACTCATTAGCTGTGAGACCCTGGGCAAGTTACTCTAACTCTCTGCGCCTTGGTTGCCAACCAGTTAAAAGGGAACAAAGAGAGAAGCTAACTCACGGGATAGCCATAAAGACTGATGTCTTCAGAAAGCTTTTGGCACACTACAGAGGTGTTTTTATTAATACTATGCAGATGTTGAAGAGTCCTGGTGGTGCAGGGTTAAAGTGCTCAGCTGCTATCAAAAGGTTGATGGTCCAAGCCAGCTGCTTTGCAGGAGAAAGATGAGGCAGTCTACTTCAGTAAAGATCTACAATCTTAGAAACCCAATGGAGGTCACTATGAGTAGGAATCAACTCAGTGATTTGGTTTGGTTTGGTTGGCATATTTCAGTTAGTGGCATAAAGACTTCAGGTGTCAGTTACCTCTCTTACTGGAGTTGAGTTTGATTTGGGATAATTGTGAGAAGGAGGCACATGCTGTTTTCCTGAGTGGTATTCTGAGAACATCACTTAAAGTGAAGATTAGTTTTACAGGTTTATAGGACCAGATAGAATCTGTAAGCATTTCTTCCTTCAGTAGGTTCTTGCTGTTTCATCCCTGTTGTTGTTCAGTTGATTTCACTTCACACTGACCCTATGAAATAGAACGGAGCTGCCTCATCAGGTTTCCTAGGCTACAATCTCTATGGGAGCAGATTGCCAGGTCTTTTCTCTCGCAGAGTGGCTGGTAGGTTCAAACCACTGACCTTTCTGTTAGCAGCTGAGTGCTTGACCACTGCACCACCAGGGCTCCTCACTTCCTCCCTACCCTACCCTAATTCTTGAGCTTCAGACAAGACTGGATCTAATTTGTCTCATGCAGAAGGAAAATCCATGACAGGTTCTTTAAAAAAAAATAGATTTCTCTATTTCTATAGCAGAAGATTATTTAATATTCCTCCAAATCTCTTCCATTATTTACCTAGTCTCCCTCTGATGAAATCCTCACTCATAATAAACTTGACACTACAGTATCTCCTTCTACTTCATAAACACCCAGGCCTGGAAAAAGGAAATGAGCGACCCCTGAATATTACCTGGAAAGGTATAACCAGATTGACAGCTTCTCCAACTCTGCGGATGTAGGTTTGCTTCAGGTGCCTTGGGATGCGAATCTTTGGAGCCTCTGGGTAAAACAGCAAGATGTTGCAATCAGCAGTTACTAAAATAGTCTTACTGAAACAGAATGGCATGATGTTCACTGGGATTTAGCCTGTGGTCACGTCTCTGCAGTCAAGTCTCAGATCCGTCACTAATGATTACATATGGTAAGAACTTTGTAGAAAAACACTATTTTTTTTCCCTTAGAACCATATACATATTTCCCTAGTTTCTAACAGTGAATATATTCTTTAAGGAAAATTCCATTACAGGTCAGCAGGTGCCACTTCAGTTGGTAGGACTGCCCACTCTTTCTCATTAAAGGGGAAAAATCTTTAAGCACCTGTTGTTGTTGTTACGTGACGTCAAGTCAGACCCAACTCATAGTGACCCCTCCATGGGTTTCCCAGGCAGTATCACTACAGAAGTAGATTGCCCAGCCTTCCTTCCGTTTAAGCACCTAGCACTTGGTATTAAGGTAATCCTGTTGGAATCTGAGAGTAACCTTTTCCCAGTAGACTATGGTAAAGTACGTAACAGGAGACTCTAGCCTAATGGGAATCACTATCCATTAATTAAACACCATGAAGAAACTATGACACGTTGCAGCAAACCCATCATGAATAGGGAGTCAAAGGTTCAGAGTCTCCCAGGGACAAAGCAGGCCTCATCACTTGAGTGCTTAGTATGCACCAGACACTGGGCTAAATGTTTACATAAATGAACTCATTTGGTGTCACCGCCACTTTACAAAGCTGTTGTCGTTAGCCGCCATAGGGTCAACCCGACCCATGGGGACTCCACGAACAAAGGAATGAAACGCTGTCCGATCCTGTGCCAGCCCCAGGATCAGTTGCAAACCGGACCGCTGTGATCCATGGGGTTTGCACTGGCTGATGTGTGGAAGTAGGCCTCTAGGGCTTTCTCCCTAGTCCATCTTAGTCGGGAAGTTCTGCTGAAACTTGCTTAGCAACATAGCAACCTACAAGCCTTTACTGATGGCTGGATAGTGACCATGCATGAGGGCCATTGTCCAGGAATTGAACCCAGGTCTCCCGCGTGGAAGGGGAGAATTCCACCACTGAACCACCATCTCCCTTAAAGTGGACAGATACTCATTCCATTCATTTCCTAGAAAACGTCTGCCAACTACTCATGCCTGACTGACCACAGTGTGTTTCTCAGTCATTTCTTCAAATAACAGTGGAGGTTCTTGAAGAAAAGTCCTAAGTTCAGCCTCCAACTCAATTTCACAAGTGCTTTCCTGGTGACAACTGTTGTTTTATGTTATGCAGCAGGAGTGTTTTATACACACTTCACGATTCATCATCAGCATATTTTATACATGCTTCATAATTCATTTTCAGCATGTAAAGTATTGAAAAAAAATATACTCAGGATCAAGATTTAATAAAATCAGTAATAAGAAAACTAATTGGTATTTAATATAATTAATAATAATAATAAAGTTAATAGTTTTTACTGCTTGGTCAAGAATATTCTAAGGCAAAACCGGGCACTTGTATTTTCACTGTGAGTGCCTGATGGTGAAGAATACAAGGATTACTAGAGCCATCTGGCATCACTGACTTGATTGTGCTAAGGTACCAGAAATTTTACTCAGCCTCACTTGTGCCATCAGGCAAAACATTGCAAAGGGCAACTCTGGTAGCACAGTGCCTAAGGCATGTGACTGCTAACCAGAAGGGTGGTAGTTCAAACCCACCAGCCATTCCTTGGAAGGAAGATTGGGCAGTCTATTTCTATAAAGATTTACCGCCTTGGAAACCCAAGGAGGGGTCACTATGAGTCAAATCGACTTGACAGCAGTGAGTATGTATGTGTATTACGATAAAAATGGTTTGGACTTTGCAGACCCATTTTAACCACATTACTGCTATAGGGACAGTTTTTGCTGCTGTGTCTACATGCCTTCTCTCCCCCGTGAATAGGTAGCCCAGCCAGAGCTGGCTTATTGAGGTTAACTGGCCTTCAAAGTACCAACCAAGTTATAAAAACCTAAGCTGACCTCCTACACTTGCTTTTACGGATTGAGTTGTGCCCCCAAAATACGTGTTGCAAGTCCTATTATACCTGCTGCCGTTGAGTCGATTCTGACTCATAATGACCCTGGTGGACACAGCAGGAGTGCCCTGGGAGATCCCCAAGGGTTTAATCTTTATGGAAACAGATTGCCACGTCCTTCTCCTATGGAGTGGCTGGTAGGTTAGCAGCTGAGGGTTTAACCACTGCACCACCAGGGTACCAAATCCTTCTATACCTGTGGTTATAATCCCATGTGGAAATGGGCTATTTGTTATGTTAATGAGGTGTAGTATATAGGATATGTCTTAAATCAAACTTTTTTTTTTACATTCAACATTTTGTGTACATTTATTTTTACTCCCCAACTACCATCCCCAACTGTAAACCAGTGTCCTCCCCTCCCTGCCCAGTAACCCCCCCTACCTGTGTCCCTCATAGTTATGTACTCCTGTGTGCCCTGCATTTCCTCCCTGTGAATGCTGCCCCTCTGGTGCCCCATGGTCGATTGCTCCAAGGGATGCATCTCCATAGACTATGTGGGTGCGTCACCCTGGGTTGAGTGGTCTGTGTGTACATCTTGTTTACTGTTGGGCTGAGAGACAGCCCCTGGGAGTGAGTTTTATTCCAGGGCAAGAATGTATCCCAGGGCCGTAGTACTGGGGCTCTCACCAGACTCCATCCAACCAGTAATTCTGGTCATGATTGTGTTTTTGGATTTTGTTTTACGTTTTCCCTCCCACTCTATCCAAGATCTCCAGATTTGATCCTTTCCATTCATAGCCGGGCACCATCTAGTTCTTCTGGTCTCAAGGGCTGATTGCTTCCAAATGCTCTTGGTTTTTTGTACTCTTCTTTGCTTCCAACGATAGGAGACCATTAGCTGCATCTTAGATGGCTGCTTGAAAGCTTTTAAGACAGTCACTACTCACCTATGTAGGAAGGGGAACAAGATTTTTATGTATTTTATTGTCTGAATGACAATTGAGTCTGATGTCCCCCAGTGCTATGGTCCTGATGGTAGATCCATTGGATCTTTCTCCCACAGTATCTGGCTGTGCGGGATTGCTCTATGTCTGTCTTCTGTTGTTTCTGTAAGGATTGTGGGTATTTTTTATCACTGGTATCTGTGCAAGATTAACCTCAGCTTAATCTATCCTTGGTCTAGAGTATAATCCTGTTCACTGACCCCCATCTGATCTTCTCAGATGTATATGTGTTTATCTGTAGCCCGGTGTTTAAAATCAAACTCTTTTGAGATATAAACGAGCAGATTAAGTGAGTAGCAAGCAAGCAGACATGGGGGGAAGACAGATGCCAGGCCCCATGAGCTCTCCAAGGAACCAGGAAACAGAAGCTGAAAGGAGACAAGGACCTTCCCCCAGCGCCCACGTAGAGAGAAAGCTTCCTCTAGAGCTGCCACCAGGACTTTAGACTCCTGGCCTCATAAACTGTTAGAAAATAAGTTTCTGTTTTTAAAGCCACTCACTTGTGGTATTTCTGTTATAGAAGCACTAGATTATTAAAACACTTGCTTTTCTCTTTATTTATTCATTTTAAAATAATAACAATACAACATTTTAATGAAAAATAACTATATTTTTCATCAACAAAGGAGCTCTGGTGGTGCTGTGGTTAAAGTATTGAGCTACTAGCCCAAAAGTCAGCAGTTCGAACCTACTAGCTGCTCTCCGCAGGAGACAGTAGCTTCTGTAAAGAACTGCTCTGTGGGGCAGTTCTATGCCATCCTATAAGGTCACTATGAGTTGGAATCGACTCAGTGGCAGTGAGTTTGGTTTTCTGGTTTCATTAACAAAACCTTGGTGAGATGAGTGGCATTATTTTGTATTTTGGGAAATATCTTTAATGTCCAACTTTATAAAAGACAGCTGGCTTCTTATAACTGCTTCTACATTCAAACTGCATTCAACAAATATGTTGAATTGTTTGAAGTGTATGAAGAAAATTCAGCTTCACACAGACATGTAGTTGGAGAAGGGAGGAATATCTTAATAAACTTTCCAGCTAATTGTGGATATTCTTCCTCTTGGATTCTACTCTAAAACACAGTAAGTGGTAGTTTCCTAAAGGTTAGCTGCAATATGGAATTTGAAACCACATTAGTCAACTTTCCAGTCTGTTACATTAAAATCCCCTGGTCTGTCTTGTGTTTGGAACGTATATTTTACCCACGTCCCAAAAGAGCTATTTTGTTCATTTCTAACTTCCAGAAAGCATTAGTAAAATATCAAAAGAGTAATGAAATAGGAGTGAGCCCTGGTGGCACAACAGTTAAGCACTCAGCTGCTAACTGACATGGTGGTTTGAAGCCACCCAGCGGCTCTGCAGAAGAAAAATCTGTCAATCTGCTCCTAAAACCCTATGGGGCAGTTCTACTCTGTCACCTGGGTTTACTATGAGTGGACAACCACTTGATGGCACCTAACAACAATGAAATAGGAAGTTTTGAAAACGTGGGAAGTTAAAGATAAATAAACAAAAGCAGGCAATGGGGAATGGAGAAAGAATTGTTAAAGGTTTGCTACCCACCTATGATTTCCTTTACGAGAATGGGCTGTGAGTAGTACTTGGGCTCGCTGGCACCAGCCTTGTTCACAGCCTTCACACGCACAAAGATCCTTGAATCCGTGGGCAGATCTTTGATGGTGAACTTGGTCTTTTCAATCAGATCTGTGTTTGCAGTTATCCAGTTCTCACCTAAAGTCCATTAGAGATAAAGGAAACAAGGAGGAATGGTGCTCAGTAAAAGTCATCATAAATGTTGCAACAGACTCCCAATTAGTATTTTATTCATAATGCAGTCACTGGAAGGGAATGTGATTCTGATCTGGACTCGGACCAAGTGGGTATTTTTCCCACTTAAATGAAAAATGGTTTAAAACGGCTAACATAAACAACAGGAAGAAGGACAAACTATCAAGTTCTGTTATTTCTGAAAAAGGTTTTGCTCAGGATACTATGTATCCTGAATAATAACAATTGTTCCCCATAATTTTACAGCAGTATTATTCCAATTTGGTTTTATCATGATTGCTGTTATGATGATATTGAGCTATGTACACACATTAAAAGTCAGATGAAGAGGAAAATGCTGCTCCTATGAATGAAAAACACTGACCTTTATTAGTGACATGATCTATTTTTTCTTGACTGGTTTATTATTGAGAGACACTAATATGAGCATATGGAATCTGACTGTGTTCCCATTTGTGAAGAAAAGAAGCTGTGGATGTAACCACAGCAAAGAGGAAACACAGGTCACAAGCCAAAACCCCACAAGGAGGTGGCACAATTCTTTCTCCTTTACTAAAAATCTGATTTTTTTTTTTTTTGAGCTTTTTGTAGTTTTGTCTATAACATCAAGATAATTTAAATTCAATATTCAGGGCTTACAAATATTACATCTTCTAAAAGTTTGTATGCATTATGCTCACAGGAAAAGAAGAAGGCTTGGATCACAAAATATCATGCCCCACTCCAAGTCTAAGGGTTTTTGTTTTGTTTTGGTTTGGTTTTTTTGCATGGAGGTGGTGGGTGAACTTCATGCCTGGTTATGGAACATTCCCAGAACTTTATTACATAGCAAGAAAGTTTGAGAGCTTTCAAAGAATACTTTACCTGGTAGGTCAAACGCAGCCTCCCCATTTTCATTAGACTGTTTTGCTGATGTACCTTTGAGAGTCCGTCATTAAAATTAATTAAAGACACCCACTTTCACACCAGAAGACTATCGTTATCAGTAGTCAGCATTCTCTGTTAGTAAAGTATGCAACGTACGCAAAGATACTTGTCTTCATAACAGTGACGGAAGAGACCAAACACGTTAGTGGGGGTTCCTCAGGAGAGGCACAGCCTGCTCTGTTCGGACTGTGTTTTTTGTCCTGAGGCACCCGCCACAGAGAAGAACAGGGAGAAGAAAAGTGAAGAAGAGGAGAGAGAAGACTGGGGCACCTCCAGCTGTGGGAACAAGAGGTAGAGAAGAACAAAGCAGGGCTGAGGAAAAAGCAGGAGCAGCCACAGGGGAGCAGCATAGGGTGCTGCAAGTCCACCTTTGCTCCTGTGCCTGTCACCTCAGTCTGGGAGGGTCCTCTTGGGTCCCCGGGAAGCACAGTGCTGTCCCTGTGTGGTTCACTCATCAGAGGCTGGGAGTCATTTGTGATAACGCCAGCCCTATTTTACCAGGGCTTGAGTTCTGAAGGGAACTGAGATGGGAACTGCCCCAGCAACTCCGAAGCCTATGTCTGGTTATCAGGACAATGAGCTCTATGTCAACAAAACCAAATGAGCCTGCCTAGGTCCCTGCATTCCATAGGGGTGGAGGGGACCTGGCTGGCAAATCGGGTGGCTGTGGGCATACCCACTGGTTTGCAATGAGTTTCTAGTTAGTATCAGGAGAGGAGCATTAGAGTGGGGAGGGGCTGGCCATCCCTGAGAATCATTTTCTTCTCTTGTTCCAACTCTACCAGGAGTATGGAGGAGAAGGAGCAGGAAGCCAGACTAGCCTGGCAGCTAGGAGGGGATGTGGTTGACAAAACTGACTTATGACCAAGAAAAAGAGACACTACGTTAAGCAAATGGTCTGATTGTGAGCTATGGTGTTGGTATTTTCATAGTTGAGAGATAATTGGAGAGAAAGTAAAAATAACAGATGAGAAAGCACATAGGAAAGAGCGAAGAACAAGAAAGGAAGAACAATTCAAGAGAAAATAGGATGGAAAAAGACCAGAGGGGAACCAAAAACAGCTCACCCCTTGATATTTGAACCACTTACACTGAGGGAGATGAGAGAAAGAAAATGGTGTCCAGGGGGTGGGGAAGGAATATAAAAGTTATTTCACGTATAAGGGACATTTTACAGAAAGGATAAACAAACTAGAGTGAAGAAAGAAAACGAAGAATAAAATGCTGCAGGCATTAAAAAAACAAGAGAAAGGCAGAGTCAGAAACAACACACTGTCTTATAAAAGAACAAATTCTCTTACAGAACAAAACCTGAGATATCTAAAAGCATTAAACACTACAGAAGATTAGTCTGGGGGACAACAGCCATTAAAAGAGACTGAAGAATAAGGCAGCCACAAAAAGAAAGAAAAGACTGCAAGAAGAAAGATATACACATTGTAAAGAACTTCCATAGAAAGCTAATTCCAAGACGTTATGTGGCAAAATATATACATAATAATGACTGTGTACATATACATATGTATGTACACATATACATATGTATCTACACAGATCACACACAAAATTATGTAAAATACACTTCGTTGTATTTTATCTAAGGTGGGTAACATCAAAATGACAGCCATGTATCATTTTGCTGTATCTTCTTACTTTTTAAACCTATCAGAAAGAAAAGAGTAAAGAATTTGCTCTATTTCATACATATACAAAGGTTCGCGCTCAGCAGCCATATCAAATATAAGATTGGGAAATTCTGCTGCCGGGACAATATAAAAAAACAAAGTGGCATGCGCATGAGGTTTTGAAATACTGGAGGAAATGGAATTGGAATAAACCACATCCTGAAGTGCTCAAGAATTTACCTTTTGCATTAGTGACACTGCCCCTCTCCCTGACTGGGCTGGCCCTGGGAACTTCCTTACAATTTCCCCACTGGTTAGGGTGAGTGGCTTTCCAAGCCCTGGGAAGATCAAGCACACTGCTCTGGGAGCAGAGCACGGGGGAACAGGACTGTTCCAGCAAGCGCCGTTTCCTTCTCCTTGACTTCTTCGCTCCTGACCAGCGACGGTGATCATGTCCACATGTGCCCCAGTCCAGGATTTCTCTTTTATCAGTTTTTTCTTCATAGGAAATATCTTCTCCACAGAGGTTTTCCTCTTGGGAGGTGCACATTCCTGTGTTCACACTCCTGTCACCCAAACTTGCTTTGTATCTCTCTTTCCTTACTTGTAAGATCCATGTTAAAGGTGAGAGTGCAGTTTTCTAAGCAGGTGAATCTTAGATTATTATTCGGGGAGATACTAACAACTTACCTGCCATCATCTAAAATGGCACCCAAGTCCAGAGCTGGGACAGTTTCAGTCGCGCATGTTCTTGTACATTTTATCTTCTAGCACTGACTTTTCTTTTCCTTGTTTCTCCCCCTCCCAAATCTAAGCTGTTAAATTTGTATGTGCTTAAGCCCTGAGACAAGTTACTGTCATGTATTGAACCAACTTCTTATATGATCTGAAACTTAATGCTACTTCCTTCAAATTCTGAGCATTATTCTTAATTCTCCCTCACCCTCCCTTTAAAAAGGCAGAGCATTCTTATCAGATAGCCAAATATGTAATTTCATTATTAACCAGGAATAGGTGAGTCTTTTGATCACTAATCTCTGCTCAGTATAGGGTCTGGAACTTCCAATTTGCTTTATCCTAATAAGACTTTTATTCTGATGTGGAATAATTTAGTTCTACCAATTCAAGAAGTGAAAGTCTTTAAAGTTTTCTCGGATCCTCTTCCTTCTATGTCTTAGTTCGATCATGTCATGCAATCTGGGAGCCTAGGCAGGATATTTTTGAGACTACAAATTATTAGCATCAAGTACCAAAGAGGGACTAAATGTTTATACATTACAGAAGGATGAAATTTGAATTGATTTCATTTTCAGTGGGAGGGAGATGAGCTCCCAAGAAAGAAAAACAAAAGAAAGACATATCTCACCTATTGATGGTGGTATTCGTTTTAAGCCCTAGGAAGTCATCTTACTAGTGGTACTTACTTCCTTCAAAGCAATACTCTAGTATATAGCCATCTAAACCTGCTGCTCCAATCTGGTCTGGGGGCCGCCATTTCATTGTGACAGTGGTGTCAGTTACAGAGTCAACAGCCAGAAGAGTGGGAGGGCTGGTTACAGCTAAAAGAGAGAAAGAGAAAAAGAGAGCAAACTGTTAACTACAGAGCTGTGATAAAATGAACTGTGAGAAAAATAAAAATATAGAGAATCCCCAAGGTTTAATCAATAAAACTCAATAAAGGTACTTTAGGCATATGCTGTGTGTAATACAAAGATACTGTAGACATGGACAACTTCGGAAATGCTGCCATAGTTTTCCCTCCAGTTTGGGAGGTTGGTGTGGGAAGATAGGAGGCCGAAGGGAGTTGAGGAATTCAAAGTTTGGGTTGTACTGATCTAGAGTAAATTGCTTATAACTCTCAAATTAAAGTGTAAACTCTTGTGCTAAATCTTTCCATTGGAAAACTACTTCACTACCATAAAATAAAAAAACCAACTGCTGTCGAATCACCTCCGTCTCATGATGACCCCACGTGTGTCAGAGCAGAACTGTGCTCCTAGGGTGTTCAGTGGCTGCTTCCTAGGTGTAGATTGTCAGGCCTTTCATCCAAGGTACCCTTGGTTGATCTCAAACCTCCAACGTTTCAGTTAGTAGTTGAGGGCATTAAATGTTTGTACCACCTAGAGACTCCACAAGAAAGTGGAGACACTTTATCTTCTGTTTCTTTGCCTTCACTGAACTAAATATTTTGGTTCAATAGATGTGGTAGTTAAATTGTATGTCAACTTGGCTGGGCCTGGTTGAGTGGCTGGGCAGCTGGTGGTAGTAATACCCCATGATGAGACTGGCAATCAACGCCATGGTGGGATCTACCACAAGCAGCTGAGTAGCTGCCTTTGGGATGTGGTCTGCTTCCTGTATATAAGGAGAAGCCTTGGGAATGGTCTCTAGCTTATAGTACCTTGAGCCCTGCATGTAGCCGTGTCATTGTTCAGCAGCCTGCCATGCTCTGCCGACCTTGGGACTTACAATGGACTTGAATTAATGGCTTGCCATGTGATTTGGTAACATCAGGACTGTGCCTTTTTAATTCTCAACCTTGGGCTTGGCAGCCTCAGCAGACAGCAGCTGTCTGAGTGAAGAAAAGCCTCTAGCTCCAGTGGTCCGGGAGCTGGAGGCAGAGCTGAAGGCCAAGGCTGAGGGGCTTTCACCCAGCCCCTAGAGCCTGGCACTTTGAACTTGGACTTAAAGCATCCAAACTGTTAGATAATAAACTCCTGTTTGTTAAGGCCATCCTATTTGTGGTATATTCTTGTCAGAGCGGCACTAGGTAACCAGAACAATAGGTAATATATAAGGCAAAATTGTAAAGCAAAGAGGCAAGTTTCCAAGTGTGGTTGTTGAATCAATCTCAGTTCTTTTTAGTTACAGTGTTTACACTAAGGTACTATCCTGGGTTATACCTTCAGGAAGATCACTGGAGAGTGGTCTTGGGTGTATTTCCAGTGGGGAATGATAACTGGAACCACCCATAGCTGTCACTGGAATTTTACTGAATTCTGGGGCCTATATTATGAAGCTCTTTAACTCTACTACAGTTGTTTTTAAAATTTTAGACAACAAATTGTCCCTACCCAACCTCCATCTACCATGCCAAGAAGCTTCTAGGCCTGCTCCAGGCAGAGGACAGCAGTCAGAATCTGAGGCAATGATTCTCATGGCAAAGACACATCTCTCTTGACTCACCCAAAGGAACAAAAGGCCTGGAGGGCATACTGGGCTTGGAGATGCCAACTGCGTTGACAGCAAAGATGCGGACCTCGTAGGCCACACCTTCAATCATCTTCTTAGGTTCAAAAGTTGTTTCTTTGCAGAGATCAAAATTCAGCCTCATCCACCTGGAGCTTTGTTTCTTTTTTCTCTCAATAAAGTATCCTGCGGTGGTACAAAATGGAAACTATAAGTTTTCCCTTGGTTTTCAAACTTAAAGTTTGGCAGACACTGGCAATTCTTTAAAAATTTACATATTCTCAGTACTGTAAGTTAAATACTCACATATCCCATTGATAATTGTTTGAGATAGATTGGACTACAATTGTTTGAGATAGATAAGGACTATACATATTAGTGTCATAAGACACAGATGAAGATAAAATAACAGGACTAGGAAAAAATAAAATTGTACCAGGAAGAGAGAAAAATAAAATGCAACAATTTATATGTATGTCATAGCAACTCATACAGACATTATAAGTGAGCAATAGGTTTAGCTCTTAGTCCCTTTCAATGAAGGTAAAACCAAAAACCAAACTCTCTGCCATTGAGTCGACTCTGACTCATACAGAGCCCCATGGGTTTGCAAGGTTGTAAATCTTTAGGGAAGCAGATTGCTTTATCTTTCTTTTAAAGAGTGGCTGGGGTTTTGAAACACCGACCTTTTGGTTAGCAGCCAAATGCCTTAACCAGCACACCAGTGAAGGTGGTTGTTGTTATGTGCTGTCGAGTCAGCTCCGACTCACAGGGACCCCTCCTTGGGTTTCCGAGGCAGTATCACTACGGAAGTAGATTGCCCAAACTTCTTTCCGAGGAGTGGCTCGTGGGTTTGAACTGCCAGCCTTCTGGTTAGCAGTCACGTGCCTTAGGCACTATGCTACCTGAGCTCCCCCCAATGAAGGTAGGAAAGGGAAAATGACCAATTTTGTGAGTCCCCTTATCAAGATGGAGAAGAAAATTCTCATTCCTTAGAGGAAGCAAATTCTTCTAAATATTTAACTCTTATAGGAGTGTCTTCATATATATAAACCCATGGAACTAGATGGTTACTAACCAGAACAGCTGAAGTTAGGTTTATGTTGTTGTTGTTATGTGCCATTGAGTCAGACCTGACTCATAGCAACCCCACCTTGGATTTCCGGGTAGTATCATTATGGAAGTAGATTGCCCAACCTTCCTTCCGAGGAGTGGCTGGTAGGTTTGAACCGCCAGCCTTCTGGTTAACAGTCAAGTGCCTTAGGCACTATGCTACCAGAGGTCCCGAAGTTAGGTTTATAGTTGTTTCAAAATTAAGATATTGAGTAAAAATATACAACAGAAGAGAACAATCAGATGATATTCATTGGAGCTATTGAAATGTCAAGAAATTACAGAGCATCCTAAGATATATTTCAATTTAAGTGGATATTGAAAGTTACAGGATAACAGGTTTTCATCTAAACGCAATATATTTAATGCATTCAGTCCTAATGTGTATGAAGACGACAGCAACTCCACCGGCAGTTCCACAGACTGACTGACAAGTTACCTAAGATTGGAGACCCCCCATCATAAACAGGAGGCTCCCAGTTCATGATGCACCAATCATCTCCTACTTCTGTCACACTGGGTGCCACTGGAGGATCAGGGATGTCTGCAGCAAACAAAAAACAGGATAAAATAAACTAAATTGAGAGAAAGAGAACAGAGAAAGTGTTAATTGGAAAATAACATGTTTTGGTAATAATCATAGAGTACTTTTCTATGTCAACTAAAATGCAATAGTACTAATTTGAGTAAACATGTCACACTCAATATGGGATAAGAAAAGGGGTGCCCAATAAAAATAAAAATAATGGTTTCCCAAACCCCTTAAACTAGTATCACAACATTAGAGACCAAGTTCCAAGGGGAACCCAAGACTGTTGCTTATTACCGAGAAAACAGTAATTAAAAATATAATTGCTAAATGTAGGATCAACTCAACTCAACTCACTGCCGTGGAGTAAGATCTGACTCATAGTGACCCCTCCTCCAGTTTCCGATGCAGTATCACTACGAAAGCAGATTGCCCAACCTTCCTTCCGAGGAGTGGTTGGTGGGTTTGAATCTCCAGCCTTCTGGTTAGCAGTCAAGTGCCTTAGGCACTACGCCACCAGAGCTCCTTATTTTTTAACCATAAATCAAATTTCCAGCAGAAGTGAGTCAAGGAATTTCATTAAGAATCAATTAATCAAATTTACTATCAGTCGGAAGATTTAAGACATTGATTGTAAAAATCCAAGTTAGGAATGGCCAGTTATCAGGTCCTATAAATATATCTCAGTGTGTGATAAAGTGATTTTTTTTTCCCCTGTCAGTTTAAAATATGTTTCTTAACAGAAAATTAAAGTGAGGAGAGAAGACGATGAGACTCTGGGACACTGGTAATCCCCTAGACCCATTTCACTTGGTTTCAGGCTGTGGAAAAAACTACATTTAGATGGCCAAGTAGGGACCAAGGCACATCCTACTCCACTCCAATGATTTTTAAAAAAATACATTTTATTGAAATATAATTTATGTACAGTGAAACACACAAAACTAAAGGACATGGGTCAATGCTTTTTTTTTTTTAGTTTTTTGAAGTGTTCCCTCCCCTCACCTCATACCCCTGGTAGCCAACAAAGAGTTTCCTTCCATATATAAACCTTTCCTTGACTTTTTACAATAATGAGCTAATAGTATATTTGTTCTTCTGTGATTGACGTACTTCACTCAGCATAATGTCGTCCAAGTTCATCCATGTTATGTGGTGTTTTACAGATTCTACATTATTCTTTAGCATTGCATAGTATTCCATTCTGTGTATGTACCATAGTTTGGTTATCCATTCTTATGTTGATAGGCACCTACATTGTTTCCATCTTTTTGCTATTGTAAATAGTGCTGTGATGAACATGGATGTGCATGTATCTGTTCTTGTCCTGACTCTCACTTTAGGATATATACCTAGTAATAGGATTGCTGGGTTGAATGGTATTTCTAATTCCAGCTTTTTAAGTAATCACCATACTGCTTTCCAGAGTGGTTGCATCATTTGACAGTCCCACCAACAGTGTATGAGAGTCCCAACCTCTCCACATCCTCACCAGCATTTGTTATTTTCTGTCTTGTTGAACTTTGCCATTAGTGCTGGGGTGAGATGGTATCTCTTTGTTGTTTTGATTTGCATCTCTCTGACAGCTAATGATCATGAGCATTTCGTCATGTATTTGCTGGCTGCCTGAATATCCTCTTTGGTGAAGTGTCTATTTATGTCTTCTGCCCATTTTTTAATTGGATTGTTAATCTTTTGTTGTTGAGGTGTGGGAGTTTTCTATAAATTCGAGAGGTAAGTCCCTTATCAGATATGTCGTTGCTGAATATTTTTTCCTAATCTGTAGGTTCTCTTCTTACTCTTTTGGACAAGTCTTTTGAAGTACATAAAAATTTAATTTTTAGAAGGTCCCATTCATCTAGTTTATCTTCTGCTGTTTGTGCATTTTGGGTTATGCATGATAGTCTATTTATGCCATAAATTGTTGTTGTTGTTGTTGTTGTTATGTGCCACTGAGTCAGACCCGACTCATAGCAACCCCTCCTTGGGTTTCCAAGGTGGTATCACTACAGAAGTAGATTGCCCAACCTTCCTTCCAAGGAGTGGCTGGTTGGTTTGAATTGCCAGCCTTCTGTTTAGCAGTCAAACACCTTAGGCACTTAGCTACCAGAGCTCCTTGTCATAAATCAGGGCCCCTAAATTTGCCTTATTTTTCCCTTGAGGAACTTTGTAGTTTTAGGTTTCACATTTAAGTCTTTGATCCATCTGGAATTAGTTTTTGTGCATGGCGTGAGGTATGGATCTCGTTTAATTTTTCTGCAAATGGATATCCAGTTTTGCCAGCACCATTTGTTAAAGAGACCACCTCTTGCCCATTTAATGGATTTCAGCCCTTTGTAAAAAATCAGCTGACCAAAGGTTGATGGATGTATTTCTGGGTTCTCAATTCTGTTCCACTGGTCTATGTGTCTGTCATTGTACCAATACCAGGCAGTTTTGACTACTGTGGCTGTATAGTAAGTTTTGAGATCTGGGAGTGTGAGACCTCCTACTTTGTTCTTCTTCAATATTTGCTTTGCTTATCCGAGGTCTCTTCCTTTTCATTTAAAATTAGTGATTGGTTTTTTCATATCCCTAAAGAATGCTGATGGGATCTGGATTGGGATTGGATTGAATGTATAAATTGCTTTGCGTAGAACTGACATTTTCACAATATTCAATCTTCCTATCCACGAGCATGGGATGTTCTTCCATTTATATAGATCTCTTATGGTTTCCTGGAGTGGTAATTTGTAGTTTTCTTTGTACAGGTCTTTTATGTTCCTAGTGAGATTTATTCCCAAGTATTTTATTTTTTTGGTAGCTATTGTAAATGGTATTGATTTTCTTTTTTCCTTTTCAGCAACCTCTTTGCTGGTGTAGAGGAATCCAACTGATTTTTGTATGTTGATCTTGTATCCTGCCATGATGCTAAATCTCTCAATTAGTTCAGTAGTATTAAGGCATTTGACTGCTAACCAGAAGGCTGGCAGTTCAAACTCACCAGCCACTCCTCAGAAGGAAGATTGAGCAATCTACTTCAGTAGTGATACTACTTCAAAAACCCAAGGAGGGGTCGCTACGAGTCAGATTCGACTTGACAGCAGTGAGTTTGGTTTGGTTTGGCCTTGGGTTTTCTAGGTATAGGATCATATCATCAGCAAATAGGGATAGTTCGACTTCATCCATACCAATTTGGATGCCTTTGATTTCCCTTTCTTGCCTTATTGCCCTGGCTAGGACTTCCAGTACAATGTTGAATAGAAGTGGTGATAGCAGGCATCATTGTCTGGTTCTTGTTCACAAGGGGAATGGTTTCAATCTCTCTCCATTGAGAATAATGTTGGCTGTTGGTTTTGCATAGATGTCCTTCATTATGTTGAGGAATTTCCCTTCTATTCCAATTTTGCTGAAAGTTTTGATCAGGAAAGGGTGTTGGATTTTATCAAATGCCTTTTCTGTATCAGTTGATATGATCATGTGGTTCTTTTTCTTTGTTTTATTTATGTGATTTATGACATTGATTGTTTTTCTAATGTTGAACCATCTTTGCATACCTGGTATGAACTCCACTCGGTCATATGTATTATTATTATTTTATATATGTTGTTGGAGTTTACTGGCTAGTATTTTGTTGAAGATTTTTGCATCTATATTCATGAAGGATATTGGTCTGTAGTTTTCCCTTTGAGTGATGTCTTTGCCTGGTTTTGGTATCAAGGTTATGCTTGCTTCATAAAATGAGTTTTGGCAGATTCCATCCTTTTCTACATTCTGGAATAATTTGAGTAGGATTAGTGTCAGTTCTTCCCTGAATGTTCAGTAGAATTCACGAGTGAAACCGTCTAGCCAGGGCTTTTTTTGTTGGTAATTTTTTTATGACCTATTCTTTTGTTACGTGTCTTTTTAAATATTCCACCTGCTCTGTTCGTTTAGGTAAGTAGTATGTTTCTAGAAATCTGTCCATTTCTTCTAGATTTTCTAATTTGTTGGACTATAGTTCTTCATAGTATCCTGTTATTATCCTTTTTATTTCTGTTGGTTCTACTGTGGTGTTGCCCAATTCATTTCTTATTCATGTTTTTACATTCTCTCCCTCTTTTCCTTTGTTAAATTTGCCAGTGGGTTGCCAATGTTATTAATCTTTTCTAGTCTTGTTGATTTTTTCTATTGTCTTTCTGTTTTATGTTTATTTTCCCTTTAATCTTTATTATTTCTTTTCTTTCAGTGACTGTAGGCTTTTATTGCTGCTCTTTTTCTAATTGTTGGAGATGTTGGGTTAAAGTGTTGATTTGAGCTCTTTCTTCTTTTTTGATTTGTGCATTTATTGCTATAAATTGGCCTTGGATCATTGCTTTTGCTGTGTCCCAAAGATTTTGGTATGTTGTTTTCATTCTTGTTTGATTCAAGCAATTTTTTCATCTCATTTTTTATTTCTTCTATTACCCAGTCATTTGTAAGGAGGCTGTTGTTCAGTTTCCATGTGTTTGCTCTTTTTCCGTTCATCTTCCTATTGTTGATTTCTTAGTTTACAGCATTGTGATCTGAGAAGATGCAGTATTTGCAGTATTTCATTATTTTTAAATTTATTGAGGCTTGTTTTGTGGGCTAACATATGGTATATCCTGGAGAATGTTCCATGTGCACTAAAAAAGAATGTATATTGTACTTTTGTTCAGTGAAGTGCTCTGTAGTTGTCTATAAGGTAAATTTGGTGGACTGTATTGTTAATTCTTCTGTGTCTTTGTTGAGTTTCTTTCCAGTTGTTCTATCTGTAATTGAAAGTGATGTATTAAATTCTCCTGCTATGACTATTGAGTCATCTATTTGTCTTTTCAGTTCTGTTAGAGTCTGGTTTATGTATTTTGGGGCTCTTTCACTGGGTCCATAGATACTTATTATGGTTATGTCCTCTTGTCAATTGATCCTTTAATGATTATATAATGTCCTTCCTTGCCTATTAATGGTTTTTGTCTTAAAGTGAATTTTATCAGAAATTAATATTGCCACTCCTGCTCTTTCATGGTTGCCATTTGCTTTATACATCTTTTTCTAACCTTTGATTTTTAGTCCATTTTTGTTTTTCTCTCTAAGGTGTGTCTCCTGTAGACAGCATATTGATGGATTGTGTTTTCTTATCCAGTCTGTGATTCTCCATCTCTTGAGTGATGCATGTAATCCATTGACATTCAGTGTAATTATTGACAAGTATGATTTTTTTTTGCTGTCATTTTGTTATGTGCTTTTTCATAGTGTTGTTGATTTCTTTGTTCCATATAATTTTCTGTGCTGAGCTTGTTTTGTTTATGAATTGCGTTATTACCTCCTCTGCTGCTACTGTTTTAGTATTTGCTAAATATTTGTTCTGGTCCTCTTTTTTATTATGCTGTTAAGGTTTATCATTTTTCTTTGAGGTAACCCTGTGATTTTTAATTTTCTTCCCAAGTTTAGAACAGTCCATTCTATCTCACAGTTGTCTTGACTTCCCTACCATTTAGAAGTTCTGTAACTACACAGTTTTTCCCACTTTTTGGTTTGTAGATGTCCTCATTTGTCAATTGATGTCTCTGGATCCCTGCTCACAATCTTGTAGGCTTATTTACTTTGGATACTTCCATAACTGGGTTGGTTTTGGGGTTATGTCATCATGTGTATTGATGGTCAGTTGTTGTCTGCATTGTTGGTTCTCTGTCCAAAAGACTTTCTTTACCATCTCTTGTAAGGGTAGTTTGGTTTTAACAAATTCCCTCAATTTCTGCTTATCTGGAAATGTCTTAATTTCACCATCATATTTGAGGGACAATTTTGCTGGGTATATAATTCTTCGTTGGAAATTTTTCTCTTTCAGGGTTTTACATATACCATCCCACTGTCTTCTCACCTGCATGGTTTCTGCAGAGAAATCCAAACTTAATCTTATTGGTTGCCCCTTGTAGGTAACTTTTTGTTTTTCCTGTGATGCTCTCAGGATTCTTTCTCTGTCTTTGGTTTTGATGAGTTTGATGATGATATGTCTCATTGATTTTCTTTTGAGTCTATCCTTTTTGGGGTTCATTGGACTTTTTGAATGGATATATTCTTATCTTTCATCATACCAGAGAAATTTTCTTCCAACAAATCTTGGACAATTTTCTCTGTAGTTTTATTTTTCTCTTCCTGTTCTGGAATTCCGATTACACGTAGGTTATTCCTTTTGATGGTATCCCACATGAACCTTAGGCTTTCTTCATTTTGTTTTGATCTTTTTTTCTGATTGATTCCTTTCCAAAGAAGTATTCACATATTTGTCTTCAATCTCACTAATTCTGTCTTCCATTGATTCAGTTCTACTCCTTTGCCCTTTCAATGTGTTAACTATTTCTGAAAATTTAGTATTAATTTTCTGGATTTCTATCTGTAGATTTTGTATCATTTCTAATTTTTCATTTATTTTGTCATTTTGTTCTTGTATTATCTTTTGAAATTGTTCTAGGGTTTTCTCTGTGTTTTCTTCAATTTTGTCATTGTTTTCCTTGATCTGCCTTTCAATCCATTGAAGGTACCTAAATATAATTCTTTTGAATTCCTTATCAAGGAGTTCCAATGCTGCTTCTTCCTCATAGATGTGTTCTGGGTCTGTATTTTGGTCCCTTGTTTCTCCTGCTTTATCTTGCTTCTTTGTGTGGACTGTGATGTGCTATTGTCTCTGAGACACTATTTCATTTTTGTGTTTATATTTAATTTCTGATTTTATGTTGGAATGACTTGCCCACAATTTTTGTTTTCTTTGCTTTGTTTGGATGTTATCTATGTAAACAGGGTATTGTGCCCCTCTATTTGCTAGTTGGCAGCACTTATACACTCACCACCTGTTTCCTTTCCCATGTCCTTGGGAAATGGAGCCTATTCTTAGGTCCCTGGAATTCAAATGAGAATGCTGTCACTTTAAATATCCAAAGTGGCCACCACTTGTAAACATTCAAAATGGCTGTGCCCTCGGTCACTTTAAATATCCAAAATGGCCACTGCTTGTAAACAATCAAAATAGCTGCATCCTCTGGATAGCCGAACATTCACAGTTCAGGTTGTGTCCCTCCTTGCTATTTCCCTTCCTAGCCATAGCCCACTAGTGCAGTCGTCCCTGCAGCCTTTGGTGACTAAGGCTGATCTTTAGGTCAATTCTCAGGTCCCTACATCACTTGAAAATATTCAGGCTGTTGGTGCTGTCAGAGTAGCTGAGTAATTTTCCACTCTTTTGTACACAGCTCCATCTGTGTCTGTATTCTCTGTTTTCATTCAGGTTTTCCACTAGTTAGTGCCTAATTCACTTCTGTATATTTCAAAGCTCAGGGCTCCAGGATTATCTTCTGTATCTCTATCAATTGATTTCTCTTTTCTTTGTTGAAGAGAGTCTGTGTAGCTTGTCTGCCTATTCCACCATCTTACCAGAAGTCCATCACTCTAATGATTTTGATGTGGGAATTTATTTACCAGTTGTGTTTAGTGATGGGTAAAGGGCACCAAAAAGGAATATGTCTGTGGAGAGCTAATGACTAACAACCCCAAATGGCTAACTTTCACTGTTCATTCCTGCAATAAAGAACTCTCAAGGCAGGAGAAAAGAAAAGAAAGAAAAAGAAAAAAGGAAAGGAAAGAAATGAAAAGAGAAGAGAAAAGAAAGAAAAAGAAAAAGAGTGGTAGAAATGGCAGGAAAAGAGAGATGGTGATTTACAACTTATTGCTATGCTGTACTTTTCTTTTGTTGGCTGCTCAGTACAGTTGGGAGAACCAACAACTAGCAAAATCTACTCTGGATCTAATCTTGTCAACTTGACTCCAGAACCTTGTTCCTCAGACAGCTTACCCACAACTTTAATCTTGATGCTTGCATGTGCTTCTCCGGCTTCATTTTTCAGATTTATGTGGTAAACACCCGAGTCGTCCCTTTCGGCTATGTCAATGACCAGACTACTGCTGTCTGGGTAAGATTCTGCTCTTATCCGGCCACTGCCCTCCATAATAGCCTAATGGGGGAAAAAAAAAAAAGGCATGACGTAGATAACAACAAAGGCTACTCTAGGGTACCTCATAACACAAGCTACACATGATACCAGTGCCTAACTATATTTTCTCACTTTAATTCTCCACCAACCTCAATAACAAAGACATTATTACCCTATTGACACATGAGGAAACTGAGGCTTAACTTGCCCAAAGTCACACAGCTAAGAACTGGTAGAGTTGGGATTTGACTCCAAAGCCCATTAACTACTAACTCACCAAAAAGAAAGTCAGAGGGCTAAAATATGAGTGTAGAAGTATAATTATAGAGAAAAGATCTTCTTTGAATATGAAATTAGAAATACTGAAACTCAACACCTTGGCAAGAATGATTTTCTGGGTTTGAAGACTTAGGTCCTTAGTCTTGTGGGACAACTCAGTCAACCAGCACCACAAAGTTCATGTTCTTCATCCTAGTGAGGTGAGTAGTGACTAGGGTCTTAAAACTTTGCAAGCAGCCACCAAAGACAAAATTATTGGTCTCTACTCTTGAGGAGCAAAAGAGAGAGAGGAAACAAAAAGAACGTAGTCTTTCTTCTCTAAGTAGTAGGGCTAATAGCCTACACAAGCCACAGCCTCATCTACTCTGAGACCAAAAGAACTAGATGGTACCTGGTTCCTACTACCAACCATTCTGATCAGGGCCACAATAGATGGGCCTGGATAACATAGAAGAAAAATGTGGAACAGAACTTGAACTTTTAAATAAAAGTCAAGACTTACTGGACCAGTTGAAATTGAAGGATTCTCTGAGATGAGTGACCTGAGATATTCTTTAAACCTTGAACCAAAACTATCCCCTGAGGTTACCTTTTAGTGAAATAAAGGATTGGCACACAAAATAAAGGATATTACCCATGAGTGCAGGGCTCCATTAAACAACTATCTGTATGAGGCCAAAAGGTCAAAAATTACAGCAAAGACGAGAAAACAAGGCAGGCAGTAAAACTAGAGTCCTAGAAATGGAGCATCAGAGCACAATGAGAATGTCGACACATTGTGAGAAATGTACCTAACGGCACTGAAGACGTGATAAGAAATTGCCAAATGGGAAACTATTTGCTGTGGAAATTCTCACCAAAAACATAATAAAATAATATTTATTAAAAAAAGAAAAAAATACTTAAACTCATGTCAGAAACTTCTGTACAGCTTCCTCAGTATTGATTTTCCCTTCCAGTCGGACATGCAAGAGTGAACATCTAATTCCCAAAGACAGAGTGGGATTGAGCCTCCTATAATATTTTCTTCTTCTTCTTTTTTTTTTTTTTTTTGCTTCCTTCCTTCTTTCTTAAACCAGAGATTTTAAGCAGCATTATTTCTGATTTCTAGACCATATCTTCTACATAAGGATGAATAGCTAGTATACAGAGAGGATAAACAGAGAAGGTCCAGGTAATTTAGAAACTGGGTAAATAGCCACTAACTATTAAGTTAATTTTCTACTCTTTTGTACCTGGATTATGTCTCATATATCTTCAATAATATAAGATTGTGACAACAGTATAAGAATTCCTGAAAAGTTTTCATAATTATTCTATTTCAAAATAGAACAAAATTTCCTCATGTTAACCAAATACTCATTTTAAGATTATAAAAGATGATCAGCCTTTTTTTAAAACATCAAAGGAAAAATGAACTGATTAGTACTCAGTTGAGTATTTGAGAAAGACCCTCTGCAGATTTCCAGGCCTCTTGCTCTGTATCCATGCTCTCCTCTAGTACATGGCCTGTGACTTCTAGCTGCCTTGATCTTCCTGGACTCAGGAAGTCCTAAATTCAGGGATTCTACTGGGTCTTGCCTGGGTTGTCCTTCTCTATACCACTGGCTGGAAACCCTCCCAAAGTAACTATTGTGTGCTGCCAAGTCAATTCCAACTCATAATGACCCTATGAGACAGAGCAGAATTGCCCCCATAGGATTTCCTAGGCTGTAATCTTTATGGGAGCAGATGGCCAGGTCTTTCTCCCATGGTGGGTTTGAACTGTTGACCTTTCAGTTAACAGCCAATTGCTTAACCATTGAGCCTCCAGGATAGGAAGCTAAGGTAATCATAGGGCTCACTTCATTCACTTCCCACCTCTCAGGGATCATTGTTTGATATATTGAAAGCCATTGGTTCATACATTTTTGCTTTTTTTAGGAGGTTATTTCAGGCGTGTAAGTAAATCTGGTCCCTGTTACTCCATACTGGTTGGACATAGGCATCTCATGTTCTGCTTTTTAAAAGTAAAACACTTTATACAGGAAGCCACAGGGTGATACTGGAGCTGGTGGTACTCTGTAATTCCAGCATTATTTATTTTTCTCCTCCTCATTCACTCAACTCCACTAACATTGGCCTTCTATGTCTCCTACATAACAAACCATTCCTTCCCCATGGCTGTACTTACATTGCATCTGCTCAGAAAATGCTTCCCTTCATCTTCACGTAATGGATTCTTTGTTGTCATTTATAGTGGCTATCTTTTGCTATCATATCACCTGGTTTTGTTCGTAGAACTTACTACTATTTGACATGGTTTTATTCATTTATTATTATTATTTATTTCATTGTCTATCTCTCTTCCATCCTACGTGATACTCATGAAAAGGAGAGTAGGGACCTTGTTCACTGCACCTAAAAACATGACGGACACAGAGTCATAAATAAATAAACCCAAACCCACTGCCATCAAGTCGATTCCGACTCATAGTGACCACCATAGGGTTTCCAAGCCTGTAAATCCTTCTGCTTCATCTTTCTGCAATGGAGTGGCTGATGGGTCCAAATCCCTGACCTTTTGGCTAGCAGCTAAATGCCTTAAACCCCTGTGCCACCAGAGTGCCTTTGGCACACAGTAGGTAGTCAGAAATATGAAAAGTAAATGAATGGTATTAAGAAAATCAGTGATCTTTCTTCCTCAAAGGAATTATATAGGTAACACACCCTGTACTTTTATTTTCCTTTCCCCTCTGTCAGAGAGCAGGGGATGTGTGTGTGTGTGTGTGTGTGCGCACATACATAGATCAAACCTTATCTGCTCGGCTCCAAAGGGCTTTAGGAGGTGGTTCTCCAGAGATTGGGATCTCAAGACGAAGCTTGTTTCCTGCAATTACTGTCACTGTGTTATCAGCGTCAAGACCATCCAGGATGATCTTAGGAGGGTCTGGAATATTAAACATGGCCTTTGTTATCAGAGAGTCATTTGCATGTGAATATCTGGGCTAGTGCCCAGCTAGTGCTAAACACTGGTCACACTCACTCACTTACTCACTGCCATCAAGTCAAACCCGACTCATAGCAACCCCTCTTTGGGTTTCCAAGGCAGTATCACTACAGAAGTAGATTGCCCAACCTTCCTTCTGAGGAGTGGCTGCTGGGTTTGAACCACCAGCCTTCTGGTTAGCAGTCAAATGCCTTAGGCACTATGCCACTAGAGCTCCCTATAATTCCAAAGGAAGTAAAAACAAACAAACACAAATACAACTCTGTAATTTCTTTGATCTACTCACCAACAACATGAACTCTGGCAGGCAAAGTAACAGAGTAGGCATCTGGTGCAAACACATAATCACCTTCATCCTCAACGAGGGAACTCGCTATTACTAACTTGTGGATTCTAAGGAAATGAGAAAAACATATTTCTAAGACTTTGCAAAGATTTAGATCATCTATTATGACCCAACATGAAGAGATATTTGGCCTTTATCTGCTTAATTCATTTAGTGCAGTCTAGAGAGAAAGAGAGAATAGACAAAGAAAGGGAGAAAGAATGAACGTGAAGCCTGAATCTTCCTATATACTGATCCACATTAAATCTTTATTTTGGATTATACAGAATTACCTCTGCAAAGATAGCCTACTTATTATGTACACAAAAGTCTATTAGTCAGTCCTTTCTCCTTTTCAGATCTTAAACAAAGCTAAAACAAGGCATAGCAATAATGCCATACTTTCAGAGTCAAGAAATTACAAAGAACAATCTTGACTTTGACTGGACATGCCAAACCCTAAGAACAATAGTTCTTACCCTTATTAAAGTCATGGACTAGTGAAGATCTCATGGACAGTATGGATCCTCTCTCTGAAGAGAGGTATATGTAATTGTACATACAGAATTTTGCTTACAATTTCAGAGGATTTATTGGGCTTCCTGAAGTCAATTCATGATCTCCTAAAGGTCCACAGATCCAAGGCGAAGAACCCTGGCCTTAGATCTTTGGTAGATTATGTTATTGTTGGGTGCTATCAAGTTGGTTCCAACACATAGTTACCCGACATACAACAGAATGAAACACTTCCGGTCCTGTGCCAGCCTCACAATCCTCACTCTGCTTGAGCCCATTGTTGCAGCCACTGTGTCAGTCATCTCACTGAGGGTCTTCCTCTTTTGTGCTGACCCTCTACTTTATGAAGCATGGCGTCCTTCTCCAGGGACTGGTTCTTCCTAATAATGTGTCCAAAGGACCGGAGACGAAGTTTCATCATCCTTGCTTCTAAGGGGCAGTCTGACTGCAGCTCTTTCAAAACAGATGTGTTTGTTTTCTAGCAGTCCGTAGTATATTTAATATTCTTTGCCAACACCGTAATTCAAAGACATCAACTTTTCTTCTGTCTTTTGTATTCATTGCTCAACTCTCACAAGCATATAGCATATTCTAAGGATATCATGTTTGGTAAAGTAGAGGATCAGTGAAAATGAGGGAAACAAGATGGATTAACACAGCAGCCTGAAGAGTGGGCTAAAACATACCCATGATTGTGAAGACGGCACACGTTATCGTTATGTATAAGGTGCCATGAATTGGAGGAAGACGGATGGAAACTAACAACAACAACATACTCTTAAAAAAATAGTGGCAAGGTCATTTGACAGTTTTTGGTTAAGGAGTGTTAAATTATTTTGACCAGCTCCTCAACTGGAATTCAGTATCATTCCTTTAACCTCATGTTTAGATGGGACTTTAGATGGAAAGAATCAATGAAGGGTTGGTTCTTAAATAAGCAAAGCACTATGGTGTGAAGTGCAGACACAAGCTCACAGGTAGGACATGATGGATTGCCCAACCTTCCTTCTGGACACGATGTACAATAGAGAAATCACACCTTCCTGCTAACTGGAAGCAAAGATCCAGAAAGATCCTCCTCCTTGTATGGTCACTCTTCAAATATCCCATCAAGTATGTAATTTAGAAAGTGTAGAGAGAGGAGATGGGAACCAAGTCTCACTTGTGGATTACCAAGCTTGCTTACCTTCCTTTGTGAATAACCTTTAGACGGTCACTCTCCTGAACAGGTAGGCCATTTTTAGTCCATTTTCCTGAGATGTTTTCAGAGATTTCACACTTCAAGCAGATTTCTTTTCCAAGCTTTACAGTTTGATCAGTCAGAGGAGTCAGTATCTTCAGAGGTTTCACTATAGAAAGAAATTATGTTGTTAGTTGTCATTGAGTTGATTCCAACTCATGGCAACTGCAAGTGTGCAGAGTAGAACTGCACTGCACGGAATTTTCAAAGCTGTGAGCTACTGGGAGCAGATTTTCAGGCTTTCCTTCTGGGGTGTCTCCAGGTGGGTTTGAATAAATAGACCATCTCAAATGCCAAACCCAAACTCTAGACAAGACAGTGTCATTAGACAATGATACAGTCAGTTCTGCCACAACACTTGTTTAGAAAATGAGACTCTGTCCCAATACAATTGATACCTTAGGGAACAATTTGAGCACAACATGCATTTCATGTTTGCTTACACACAATTTCATACATGAGAATAGTTAAACATATGCAGGAAATTGAATCCAGCTGAAGTGAGTTAGGGATGCCCAAGTACATACATGTACATGCCTCAAACATTTACCAGCTACCTCAGTTCAATGTGTGATTTAAGCCATACCACCAACATCTGAAGTTACAACTCTCCATCTGATTCAAATAATCCTCCTTCCACTTCACTATCCAAAATGGCAATACTTCTGACACCCACTTCCACAAGCAAACTTCAGATTTTTTTCAAGGTAGAGTGCCATATTTATTGTAGTATTTAGAAACTATTTAACATTTGCAACACTGTACTACTGTTTTTTATAAGATTCCTGTCTCTTTTTTAATGTGCCACCAGGACAAAGTTTTGGAGTGTTGTATCCCAACCTTATTTTTCCCATAAGCCCTATGGTTTTAATTGTATGATTTTGAACACAATGATGAATTTTAGGAATGTATCTGTTGTATTACTTCAGTGTAACTATAACTGCTTTCAATAGATACAAATATTAGATACATATCTGCCTATGGCTGAATTTTTTATATTAAACTTAAGTTTCTGTTTCCACAAAACACAAAAAGTGTCTTGAGATGGTTCCTGAATAATTCAGTGATTATATGAATTATAACTGGGCTGAAAAAAGAGCCAAGAAGCAGAATTTCTTTTCTGCATGTATTACCAGTTATCCTCAATAATTTGCCAACTGGGACAGGCTGACACTGAGCACTGACTGCTATACGAGGTATTTGGTGATGATGTACATTAATTCTCTCATGCCTCTGAAGCCTAGTAGCAAATTAGCTCTTACAACGTTCTTACAATGCTCTCTTGGTTTGAGTAACGTTCTTCTTACTCCTTGTATCCTTGACAAGATACGAATATAATTGTAGAATGTTGAATGTTTATTTAATGAATGAATAGTAAGTTTGCTTATGGATTTAGCAAACATTATCAGGATTTGACATCATATCTAAGTGTTTAATATTTATTTATATGGTGTTGGGATAAAAATATTTCTTAATCAACGTTTCTGGCAGTTTACAAATATGTTTCCCAATATTGGTGCTCTACTATCAAATTAGGAGCTCTGGTAGCGTAGTGCCTAAGACACTTGACTGCTAACCAGAAGGCTGGTGCTTTGCACCCACCAGCCACTGCTCGGAAGGAAGGTTAGGCAATCTACTGCCATAGTGATACCGCCTCAGAAACCCAAGGAGGGGTCGCTATGGGTTGGATCTGACTCAATGGCAGTGAATTAAGTACTATTAAATTGATGGGTTTCTTTCTCAAAGAGCCTGATTGATCTGACATAGCAACTCAGTTAAAATGGAATCTAACTTTACATATTAAAATTGTCACAAGTAGGAATTAAACAGATTAAAATTTGCCTAAAACAGAATTAACAAACGCTCAAATCAGTAGTGAGCACAAGTTGGAAGGTATCTACAGAAGTCTTACTCACAGTCAACACTCAGTTTAGCAGATGATTGTCCCCCTGTTGTCATCACTGAATATTCTGCAGTGTCAGCCTTTGTCGCTCCTTCTATGATCAATGTGTGCTTTTTGCCTTCAACTTTAACTCGGTATCTTGATTTGGGACCAAGGTAGATCTCCTCACCATTCTTAAACCTGGGTTCAAATGGATTATAATACAAGTTTTAGAAAGGATCCTTCGGATACAACCACACAGAAATAAAATTTATTAGTTGTTTCTGGAGGGAGGGGATGAGGGAGTTATTGCTTAAGGGGTACTGAGTTTCTGCCTGGGGTGATGAAAAGTTTTGAAAACAGGGGTGATGGTTTCACAACATGATGAATTAATTACTTTCATTGAGTTGTACACTTTAAAATGGTTAAAATGGAAAAAATATGTTAGATAGTTTACCACAATAAAGAGAGAGAGAGAGAGGAGATAGGCCTTGCTGGTCTTATTTATTGCTATATTCCAGTGTCTTAGTTTGGCAGATTCCAGACAGTCAGAACACTTGTTCTGTTTTTTGTTGAGACCAAGATGGCAGCATTTGGCCAAAAACAAACTCAGAAGGTGGGAAGGGGCAGGAAAGAAGGATGAAAGGAAACGGGGAACCCAGGAGGAAGTGGGAAGAGTGCTGTTACATTGAGGGGACTGTAACCAATGTCACAAAACAAAATGTGTATAAATTGTTGAATGGAAAACTAAGTTTCTCTGTGAACATTCACCCAAATTATAATACAAACTTTTAAAAAGAGAACTATTTGTTGAGTTAAACAATATATAAATCAGTCAACTATCTATAAATGGATTAGTATTTTAACAAATATTATCTGCAACATTATACTGAAAGGGTATAAGCCACTTCTCACTCAGAATCAATCAGATGAAAATGCTAAGAAAAGTTATAATCCACATTTTGGGCTCTTGATAAACACTCATAAGAATAACATCATTTAATCCACTTTAGAAATAGCTATGATTCCATATCAGAGATAACACTCTACTCTGCCCAAATTACTACAGATTCCTGTTGTGTAATTTACTATATAAATTACTCAGTACAATAGTAAGATTCAGAATCTTCTGGTTTTCAGTTTTGAGATTGCTCACAGGGAATCTGAGAAAATACTCTCACCTCCCTGATTGCCAACCTCCCCATATTACACATATACATTCTCATTCTCTCCATGTCTGTCTCTTTCTCTCTCCCCCCACATATACACACATATATCTCGAAAACTGTGAGAGCTGGAACTCCGAAGATTGCCTTGTTTTTATGGAGCTTCCAAGCTTTCTGCCTGTGTCAGGGTGCAGTCTAACCATTTTTCTCTTTCTTGCTTTAAAAGTGGAAGTTGTTTGAGTTTTCCTTCTCCGACAGGTTTCTGCCTTATACAGTTTCTGGCTTTTGCAGGTTTTACCATATATGCTTTTATTTTTAAAAGCAATTGGCGGTTCGCAAGCTATAATATTTTTCTGAGGTACTATAATATTAAAGTGACCAGGAATCAAATGATAAAGAAAAGAAAACTTGTTTTTCCCTCCAAGAAGAAATGCAGTACTGGCATAGTGAGAGGAAGCATGGGACAGAGGTTAAGAGCATCCAAGGGCGTTGGAGTCACACAAAACTGGTAAGCTTCAGTCATCAATCTATTATAAGGACCTATTTTCCTGCATCCTCATCCATATCTGGATCTTTTCTCAGTCTCATAGGTGAAAAAAATAATAACAAAAATGGTATCATAGTATAGCTTTCATTATCATCTCTACTAACACTGAGATTGGCACTCTTTTTGTATATATAAAAGTCATTTGTTTTTCCAACAATTAGAGAAAGAACAGCAAGAAAAGCCCACAGTCACCAGAAGGAAGGAAATAATCAAGATTCGAGCAGAAATCAATGAAACAGAAA